GTAGGTCATTCCAGAGGGCAGGAGCTGCCACAGAGAAGACTCTCCCCCTGGGGTCGCCAGCCGGCATTGACTGGCCGACAGCACCCTAAGGAGGCCCTCTCTCTGTGGGAGCGGACTGGTCGAAGGGAGATATTTGGTAGGAGGCGGTCTTGCAAATACCTAGGTCCATTGCCATGGAGCGCTTTAAAAGTTGTTACTAACACCTTGAAGCGCACCCGGAACGCCACCGGCAGCCAGTGCAGCTCGCGCAGGAGAGGTGTTACATGGGAGTATCTAGAGGCCCCCCAAATCCCCCGCGTGGCCGCATTCTGAACTAGCTGGAGCCTCCAGGTGCACCTCAATGGGAGCCCCATGTAGAGAGCATTGCAATAGTCCAGGCGGGAAATAACGAGGGCTTGAGTGACCATGCGTAGGGCGTCCCGATCCAGAAAGGGGCGCAACTGGCATATCAGGCAAGCCTGATGAAAAGCCCCCCTGGCCACGGCCGTCACATGATCATCTAAAGACAGCCGAGCATCCAGGAGGATGCCCAGGTTGCGGGCCCTCTCTGCGGGAGCTAATGACTCGCCCCCAATAGCCAGAGATGGAGCCAACTGGTTATGTCGTGATGCCGGAAACCACAGCCACTCGGTCTTGGACGGGTTGAGTCGAAGCCTGTTCCTCCCCATCCAGACTTGCACAGCCTCCAGGCACTGGGACATCACTTCTGCGGCATCGTTGGGGTGGTCCGGGGTGGAGATGTACAGCTGGGTGTCATCTGCGTACTGATGAAACTCCACCCCGAAACCACAGATGATCTCACCCAGTGGCTTCATATAAATGTTGAACAGGAGAGGCGAGAGGACCGATCCCTGTGTTACCCCAGAAGTGAGGTGCCTCGAGGTCGACCTCTGCCCCCCTGCCAACACAAATTGCGACCGGTCCGAGAGGTAGGAGGAGAACCACCGTAAAATGGTGCCCCCCAACCCCAACCCCCCTAACCAGTGCAACAAGATACCATGGTCAATGGTATCAAAATCCGCTGAGAGGTCTAGCAGGACCAGGATAGAGGAACAGCCTCTATCCCGAGCCCTCCAGAGATCATCAACCAACATGACCAATGCCGTTTCCGTGCTGTGCCCAGGCCGGAAGCTGGACTGGCGCGTGTCTAGATAGACAGTTTCTTCCAGGTGCTGAAGGAACTGTCGTGCCACCACACTCTCAACAACCTTCGCAAGAAAGCGAAGGTTGGAGACAGGACGGTAGTTGGCCAAAACAGCCGAGTCCAGGGAGGGCTTCTTGAGGAGGAGCCTCACTACCGCCTCTTTCAAGGCGGCCGGCAAGAACCCCTCACTCAAAGAAGCGTTGACGATTCCCTGGAGCCAGCCTCGTGTAACCTCCCGGGAGGCCAGTACCAGCCAGGAGGGACACGGGTCCAGTAGACATGTGGTGGTGTTCAGCCATCCCAGCATCCTGTCCATGTCCTCGGGAGTCACAGGATCAAACTCTTCCCACAAAGTGGACTCAAGACCTGCCTCCATTGGCCCATCTGAACTAGTCCAATCAGAGGCTAACCCGGCCCAGATCTGATCGATTTTGTCATGCAGGTAACACCCAAACTCCTCTGCCCGACCCTGCAAAGGGACGTCCCGGACCCTCTGATGAAGGAGGGAATGGGACACCCTAAACAGGGCAGCAGATCGGTTACCTGCAGACGCGATAAGAGCGGAGAAATAGTTTTGTTTTGCCGCTCTTATCGCCACTAGGTAAGTCCTTAAATGGGAGTTTACCAGTTTCCGATCGGATTCGGAGCCTTCCTGGGACTTCTAAACTTCTACCATGCCTTCCTCCCCCACAAGACTGCAGTGGCAGAGCCATTACACTGGCTCTTGGACAAATAGGCCCCATGGAAGTGGACAAATGTCCACGAGAAGAGTTTTGCTGAGGTCAAGGCATTATTGTCTTCTAACGCAGTGCTGGCTCATTTCAATGAGCAGTTACCAGTTAGCATAGCTTGCAATGCATCCCCTTAAGGGATTGGGGCTGTCTTAAGCTACCTCAGGGCTGATGGGACACAAGTCCCTGTAGCCTATTATTCCAGGACTCTTTCTGCTACTGAGCACAATTACGCGCAAATAGATAGAGAGGCATTGCCCATTGTGGCTGGTATCAAGAAGTTTCAAGACTTTTTGTATGGCTGCCATTTCACGGTCTTCACTGACCACAAGCCGCTTCTGGGGTTGTTCACGATGAACAAGCAGACACCCCAAATCATCTCTCTTAGAATGTTGAGATGGTCAATATTTCTTTCTACTTACGACTATTGCCTGATTCACAAACCGGGTAGGGAAATGGGCCACACAGATGGCCTTAGTCAGTTGCCTCTAAAGCAAGTAGAGCCAGATCCTGCACCGGCCAACCACATCCTGTCTATCCAGGATTTGCCGGAGTCTCCCTTCCATGCAGGGGATGTTGCTGCAGAAACAGCTACTGACAACACGTTAACATGTGTGTTGAATTGGGTGCTCACAGGATGGCCTGACACGTGTCCTGTTACTAATTTCCAGAGTTTCTGGAAAAGGAAGCATGAGTTATCTGCCTTTAAGGGTTGTATACTTTGAGGCAGCATGGTAGTAATCCCGACCTCACTGAGGACTAGAGTCCTTGTTTCTCTGCATGAGGGACATCCGGGAATAGTCTGGATGAAGGCGCTTGTGCACAGCTACCTTTGGTGACCTGGGCTCAACAAAGAGATCGAGGCCCAGGTCCAAAGGTACCCCATTTGCTAGCAGTCCTGGCCAGAAATGCCTCAGGCTCCCGTTCATAGATGGGAGACCACACATGCTCCTTGGTTGAGAGTTCATATTGACTATGCTGGCCCCTTTCAGGGGAGCTCTTCCTCATTGTTGTGGACAGTCAGTCTAAGTGGCTGGAGGTTGTTCCAGTGTCCACTACAATGACTGCGAGGACCATCCAGGTTTTGAGGGGCATTTTCGCCTCTCATGGGCTTCCAGACGTCATCATCTCTGATAACGGGCCTCAGTTTACTTCATCAGAGTTCCAGTCCTTTTTAAGGGCAAATATGACCAGGCATGCTACCTTGGCACCATTTCACCTGGCTCAAATGGTCAAGCGGAACGCATGGTGCGCACCACTACTAAAGAAGCTTTAAAAAGAATAACCCAGGGAAACTGGCACCACAAGTTGGCAGACTTCCTCCTCTGCCACCGCACAACACCATGCACATCTATGGGCAAAAGCCCAGCTTAGCTCCAATGGGGTCGCCGCCTTATCACCAAGTTGGATAGGTTACATTCAGATTGGGTTGCATCGCAGGTGCCACAGCTAAAGGCACCGAGGCATTTGAAAGTGGGTGATCATGCAATTATGGGCATGCAATTATAGACTGTGGGTGGTAGCTGTGGTTTGTAAGGTTACTGGGCCACTTTCCTACGAAGTGGCACTGGAGGATGGTCGTGTGCTACACAGGCACATCGACCAGCTGCGATGGAGGTTACCTAGCCACCCTTCCACTCCTTACTCTGCTCTCGGGGGGGGGGGAGGACCATGATCCTGATCGTGAATCTCTGCCACTCAGCGAAAGCGGGACATTGCATTCATCGAACGGGGGGTTTGCCAATGAGGCAGCTCCTGACTCTGGCACCACGTCCATGGGACATTGTGCTCAATCGGTTTTCAAAGCCGCTCCTTGTCCAAGCCTTGTGCCAATGGGACAGTGCTCCCAACTAGCTTCTTACACCGATCAGGGGAATTTCACCCCACAGAAGAACTCTGGTTTGGGTCTACTGGAACAGGCCAGCCAAAGCCAAATGGACAAAGGCTTGGGTCTACCAGAACAGGCCAGCCTTCATGGTCCAGTTTCACCTGTATCGTTCAGGTCCCAAAATCCCGGTCTGCTGAGCCTGGCAGACGAGCTTGCAGATCAGGCCCTAGCAGCAGCTCTGAGGTGATCGGAGCGGGTCAAAGCCCTCCGAAGTTCTTAAAGGACTATGTGAGGTTTCTGTCATTGCAACCTTAAAATGCTTATGTATTTTAGTGCAACTGAAATGCTTCTGTAAGTTTTTTGAACTGAATTGCTGTGTATTATAATGTTGTGTTTGTGTTATGATGTTATGTATTTTTACAAGTGAAATTGTAAGACTTGTATTATGGAATGTTATTGTGTGTTGTGAAAAAAGAAAAAAGTGTGTTGTAGTGAACAACAAGAATTATTGTGCAGGTGTCAAGGAGGGGTGTTATGTATTGGGCTTAATTGGGAACAGTCGCAGGGAGCTGTTCTGAAACTGTTAGCAGACCACGTGGCCTCCTGGGCCAGACTTGCTGTCTGCAAGGGCTGACTGGGATGCATTTGAGCGGGAAAATACGTTGCATTCATTGGCTGGTAATGCCCCAGGGTGAATGTATAAAAGGGGTGGAGCCATTTTGTTCTGAGTTCTGTTCAGCCTGAAATAAAGAAGTACCTGTTTGTTATTCCTGTCTTTTCAATGCTTACCAATGCAAGAAACAGAACAGTCAGAATGATTGCATTACCTCTATTCTGAACCCTCCAAAAGTCACCAAACAGCAATCATTGCTTTTTCAGTGCTGTGTCCTGCCATTAACCCATACTGAAGTTTGAACTCTTATTTTTAAAGACTAAACTAGTCCCTGAAGTCTTCTTAGCAATATTTTGGAATGGTTTTGCCATAGCCTTCTTCTTAGAACTCAACAACAGTAATTGGCCCAAAATAACCCAGCTAGCTTCAGGCCTTGTAATTTAATCATTACACTGAACTGGCCCTCAACTTTTATTTTACACATCATCCCTGTCTCTTTAAGCTTAACAGTAACATAAAACATAAGTAATTGTTTAGATATCCCTGATTTTCAGAAAGTTTGAATTCTTACCTTGCTGGCATTTCTTCTCAGTATTTGATATTATTTGTATGTTAAATGATATCGAGCTACTTTTTGGATATCATCTCAATAATTTAAACAAACCAACTACATCCAAAACTTACTTGGTTGAAAGTGCTGGGCCAGGTGATGACTTCTTCATGAATGGTGAACATTTGGTTTTCAGCAGCCCAGGGATCTAGCTTCCCAACTTTCACTCGATATAAAGACTGATTAGGGAATATGACCCAGTTGTCCATATCCAGTTGTGTAATCAGTTCTTTATTTTTGTCAAAGGAAATTTTATCTCCAACACTGTTGTTAAATGAGACTTTTTTCAAAAAGAAATGAAGCTGAATATGAAAAAAGCAAGAAAGAAAACATGCTTAATATATGAAACTATGTGATATGTGAATCATTTAAATATGTGGCACACTGTCCCTACTCTAAGGTACTAGCATTTTTCTCAAGGATGGTTGTCTGTGGTTCTTGATCCAAAATCCTTCTCTTATAGTCTACTAACTTTCAAAAACTAAAAATAATCCAGGCCCTAAACCTATACAATTGTTAATATGCAAAGATATAATTTATTGAGGAAATGTGTTATTTAACAAATAAAAATTATCAGGCTTGCCTTACATTTGCAAGAAGCTTATGAAACTTGTCATCTGCTTTTATTAGAGACAAAATGATCAAAGAATACCATATCCTTTTAATAAGAAAATTTAATATTAATCATCTACATAAAGGAATAGGCTGAACAGGTTGAATTGACTTTTCCAAATATAAAAATTATCTTTCTTTAATGCTAAAAATTCTGCCATTGATGCATTTGATTCATTCTAAATAAAGAAATCCATAAAATTGAATGCATCCATTTTTATTGCTGCTATAAGATGCCATGATAGGAAATGGAGGGTAGTGTGTTATTAACATATTTCTTCTAAATTGAAAATTAGCCTTAAATTCAGATTTAATCTTTGGGGGATATATGGATGATTAGAAGAAGTAAAGGAGGGCAAAAGTAGACTGAGAACAATTTAAATCAGATTAAGAGCATAAAAGAGAACATAGGTTCTGTGAAATCCTGCTTAAGTGTTTTGAGCAAGTGGCTGTTCTTTTCTTTAGACAGATTAAAAAATACAAAGATTACTAATTACTGTATTCCCTTCTTCCCCCCCCTCTCTCTTTGATTTTCCTTTTATTGTCTGACTGTCTTTTTGTGTTCATTTACATGCTAATTATACTCTAATTTGATGGTATCTTTAAAAAAATTGAAAGTATGATCCTTTACTGCCACAGTATGGAAGGGATCCAAATATGCTTGGACTGATCTAAATTACATAGATGAACAAAAATTGAATTATTTACCTTGAGGCAACTTATCTCTGCTGCTCTGTCATTTGTAGTGTCCAAGGTGATTGGATCCCAACCTGGATTTATGGATCTTTCTTTGTCTAGAAAAGCAGTGTCTTGTAGTCTCAGAAGTATTTTCGGCTTGAAAGTCCAAATAGAATTTCTACTTCTTTCACCCTTCTATATCAATTAACGCCTATGCATTGCATTCACTATTTTTGACCTATACCCTTATTGACTGAAATGCATAACTTAAGTCTTAACTTAAGAAAGCAGCTCTTGCCACCTTGAAAGGAATAAAGCTTGTTACATGAAATAGTTCCTGTAATATGTACAGTATTTGTGTGTGTATGTGTGTGTGTGCATTTGTGTATGTGTATCAAATGTGGGGAGGAAGGGAGAGAATATAAAGCATATATCCTAACAACCTATGGGAAAGATCTAGAGAGTAAGTGAGCCAGGAAGCATGAAGAAAATTCATAGAGATTATACAGTACAAATCCCACAAAAGGTGAGGAAGAGATAAAACAATAAACCAGGAAGTTGTTACAAATTTTCTATCTAATTACGATTGCTTTTTATGATCAGAAGGCTGTGAGATGCTGGAGACTGAGTTCAATTCATATCCCATTTCCAACAGAATTGATTATTCATCACATTACCTGCCATGGCTGGAGGTCCTGGAGACTGAATTTTCTGCCATTTAGTTTTTGCCTATGTTTTTGGCCAAAAATCATAGCATGTAAAGCATGTGCCACAGCATACACTGCATTGTATATACTGTAGCTGTGACTGGTCATCCTCATTTCAAAAAAGGCCCCAGAAAGGCTCTCCAATTTCTCCTTCCCTGTACAGACATCCTCCATTTGCTCATTCTCAGATGGATTTGGAAACACACAGCCAAATGCTTGCTCCCATACATTTTTGACAAAACCATCCTCTTTTGAAAAGAAATGATTTCTTGTCTGGAGAAAATGTTGAAATCCTGTAATTTCACTTGAGTAAGCTGCAAAGGTCAGAGCACCGTGGAAGTCTTGGATATCCCAGCTTTTCTGATAAAAGAATGATGCAAGGCCCATTTGGGAAGCCATGATCCATACCTTACCTTTTGGCTTTATAGACACTATTTCCATTTCAGGTAGACGTAACAACCATCTTAAATTTAAAAGATAATTATCACTGATTATGATAGCTTTGGCTTTGCTGTTAACAAGAAGGTGAAAGGTTTCAACAAGCCATTTCAGATTATCAAAAAAATTGTTGATGTAAACTGGTCTGAATTTTTCCAAGAAGGCAATGCAGATGCCATGGAGAGGAAACATTGAGAAGATTAGGTGCTCAAATTTTCTTCCTCCAAGTCCCTTTGAAAGTACCCCAATCCAAGTCCATCTGAAGTGCAAAAGTAGTTGAATAATCCCTCTGTAATAAAGTTCTTCACCTGGAACCATTGGATAGTAGAAATGACTTTCATATTGTGATGGGCCAGTTGGGAACTATGGAAGTAATATATATATAATTTTATTCAAGACAAAGTTAAAATACAAAACTCAAAAAAAACCACCCAAAAATCAAAACATTAAAAAAAGAAAAAGGTGAATCAAAGAAAGACCAGTACATACACACATATTATGCCCCTAGTTGAATACTTATTAATATATTACTATAACATTAGTTTCCATTCCTTGTGTAACAGGTGCTCCCAAATTTTGTAAACTACTAAATCTATTTGCAAAATATTGACATGTCTTCTATATATTATATTAGTAACAATGTAGTTATCAGGAAGAATAATACTACTAAAACAAAACAGAATTAAAGTTTCAAAATGTGTATGCCCAGTGACTTCAATCGCTTACAGAGGGAATTCAAATCTTCAAGTCCCCTCCCCCTTCCCAACTGGGTCCATGATTGTCCAAAAGTCATCTAGGGTCATTCCTAAGTGCTCCCATTCAAAACCAGAAAGCAGCACTGCCAAAAAAACCCAGCTTTGACAGTAAAATCAGCAGATCATCAGTAAGAGAAAAAAGAAGCTCTTACAGCCATCTTGGAAGGAGTTTTCTTTCACATAATTTCTGTAGACAGGGTACTAAAGAGACTAGATTTGGACTAGATCTTTGTGTCCCCTTCCAGATTCCACAATTCTATGACTATTTGGATTCCTAACACCTGAATTTGGTTCCATAAAGACCCTGACCTCCAAATCCTGGGGACACTGCTGCCTGGTTCTCTAGAGCCTGAAATCAGAAAGTAGCCAAGGTCCTGGACAGAATTGCACCCTCTCCTGGCTGATCACCCCTGATACTGTCCCTGGATTATGGCAGAGCTGAGAGTGCTGAAAATGGCAGAGTTGGCTAGAGAGTCAAAGGAGGAAAGCAAAGTATGAATCCAACTGGAAATGTGTCAGAGCTACATTAAGGCCTACCTCATGGCAGTAAGAGCAGCAAAGTGTCAGTATTTCTCTGCATTTTTATGTCCACAGAGTGTCACCTAACAGCCCTGTTCAAAGTCACCAAGTCCTTTCTCAGGCTCGGACAAACATCTGCAGAGTCACATGGAGGAGTTTGTGGAAAACCTGATATATAAAATTGTTCAGATTCACTTTTGGTTGGACTCCAAGTAACCATTAGAGAAGTCCGGGGATAGGACTTATCCTGGAGCAGTTTTATCTCATTGGATCCTGAAATGGACAGGATCCTTGGGACTGTCAATACAAGTACTTGCTTGTTAGACCCTTGTCCCTCATGGATAGTGAAAGCTTTCAGAACAGTGAATTCTGGGTGGATGCATGTAGTGATTAATACATCACTCCAGGAGCACCCTTCTTCCCAGCATCCTTTCATAGAACATAGACTCCTAGGGCTTGAAGATATCTTCAAGCCCAACCAAGGCAGGAATCCTTATCCCATCCCAGACAAATGGTTGTCCAATCTTTTCTTCAACAATGAACCTCCCACTATTCCTAGAGGAAAGCTATTCCATTGACTAATTGTTCCCACTGTCAGAAAATTTCACCTTAGTTCCAGGATCTCTCTCTGACTAGCTTCCACCCATTACACTGCCCTCAGGATCTTTGAATAATAAATTGATCCTTCTTTCTTGCAACAGACTTTCAAGTTACAGCTATAATGTCATCCCTAAACCTCTTCTTCATTAGGCTAAATATCCCTAGTTCCCTTAACCATTAATTGTACTGTTCAGCATCCAGATCCCTTATCTTATGTTCTCTGCATTCTTTCAGGGCCTCAGAATATTTTTAGTCTCATGATGACCAGAATTAGATGCATTATTCAAAGGGTACTACTAGTACAGTATAGAGTGGTACTTTTGTGTACTTGATGCTATCTCTTTGTTGATACAGCTTGGGATCACATTGGCTTTTTTGGCAGCTGCAGCATATTTCTGGCTTTCGTTAGATACACTTTTGGTTGGACTCCAAGTGCCCATTAGAGAAGCCCAGGGACAACTAGATCCCTCTCACAGGTACTCCTGTTGAACCAGGTACTGTACCTGTGTGTCTTGTGCTTTTAGGAGGCTGAGATCTGCCTCCTTTTAATAAGCCATCATTAAACCCACGCCTTGCTGGACAACTTCCATCCAGTCTCTCACCTTCACTTTTTAGGGAAGATAGTGAAAAAGTGCTTGTGTTATAGCTCCAAAGGGTCCTGGATGAAGCAGATAAGATAGACCCCTTTCAGATAGGTTTTAGACCCAGTTACAGAATAGAAACAGCATTGGTCACATTGTTGATGATCTCTGGTGAGAGAGGGATATAGGTTGTACATCACTTCTTGCCTTCCTTGACTCTGAGCAGCTTTCACTACTACCAACTCTGGTATCCTTTGGGCTGTCTGTGGATTTGGGATTGAGTTTAGCTGGCTGGATTCCTTTCTCCACAGCCAGTTTCAATCAATGTTGACAGGGGGCAGGAGATCCAGCCTAGAGTTTTCCTCTGTGGAGGACCACATTCCTTTTAAAGATTTACATCAAATCCCTGGTTGAGATCATCTGTCACTGTAGGATGAGGTATCATCAATATGATGAAGTCACCCTTCTTTACATTCCCATCCCTGGTGATCCAAGTCATGCTATGGGGCAATGCTCTTGCAATGCCTAGAAGCTGTGGGGGTCTGGATAGAAAGCAACAGGTTTCAGACAAACTCTGGTAAGATGGAGTAGCTGTGGTTGCATGGAGCCTTAGGATTCAAAGGTTTATCATTTTTAGTTCTGGATGAGATTGCATTACACTAGACAGACCCAGTATGCAACTTGGGGGGTTCTTCTTGACTCAAAATTCCTGCTCAAAGAGTAGGTGGCAATCATGGTTAGGAGATCCTTTGGTGCAATTTTGTGTTGTGTGCCAGCTGTGTCTCTTTCTGGATCATGAGGCCCCTTGCTCAGTCATTTATGCCCTGGTTATGTTTCATTTGCAACATGCTCTACATGGGGCTTACCCTTGAAGAGTAATTGGTAGCTGCAATTGATTCAGAATGCAACTGCATGGACAATTTTGGAAGCACATACTGTATAACAGTGGCACTTGTAACACCACTATTATATGATCTACATTTTTGCCCCAATGAGACTGGCCTGCCCCATTCATTCTGTGGATCCTCTTAGCCAAGGAATTTCAGTTGGTGGAGTCTAGGAAATGCCCCTGCCCACACACACCTTTTGAAATATCTTGCCATCTGAGGTGTGAAACACTCTCATTCTCTGGCTTTCAGGAAGGGCCTTAAAACCTGGTTCTGCTGGTATGTGTTTTTCCCAGATGAAGAAGCTGTAGGCTATAGGTGATTGGTGCAGTGATAGAGAATGCACCATCTCTGCTTCACTCTGAGCCCATGGTTTTTAAATTTGCATTTAATCTTTTGCAATGTTAATCTGTTTTTATATTTATAATTGTATATCTCTATTTGTATTATATTGTAAGCTTCTCAGAATTGCTTTAGATAGCAAGATAAGTGGAATATAACATTAATAAATATATAAAATAAGCAAAGTATATATGTATATACCACCCTATCTGAATTACTTTATTGTAAATTTTAAATATGTTTTCCAATTGCCTTCCTAAAAACTTTTTAAATTAAATATTGTTTTACCCTATTTTAGACTTACGGACTGCTATTGCTTATGTGCTTCTTTGTTACTTTAGAACAGTGGTTCTCAACCTGTGGGTCGGGACCCCATTTGGGGTTGATCGACCATTTCACGGGGGTCGCCAAGCAAGGCTGTCTGCCACTTTTTTTGTCCGCCATTTTTTTTTGTCCGCCATTTTTTCCCCTTTTCCGGCGGGTGCCTTACCTCCCTTGGGCTGGGCCAGCTAGTGGTCGGCCTGCTCCATCTCTGCCGCTTGCCAGCTATGCCTCGGCCGGCGCAGGGGCGGAACCACGCATGTGCGGCGCTCCCGGGCAGGGAAAGTCCTCGACTTATGACCGGTTGGGTAGTCCTCGACTTACGACCGGTTTAGTCCTCGACTTATGACCAGTTTAGTCCTCGACTTATGACCGGTTTAGTCCTCGACTTACGACCGGTTGGGGTCGCGGCATTAAAAAGGTTGGGAACCACTGCTTTAGAATGTTAAATTGACCAGCTGTGACACTGCATCTCCAATGATAGTCCTATCAATGCCTCTTCAAGCATCTGTTCTGCTCATGTTAAGATGAGATATTGGGGGGAAAGAACAAAGCATTCAGAAGGATTTTTTGGGGACAGGGAGGAATTTCTGCTTTACTGTAACTGGCAATGCAGCTTCTGATTCTGCTCACATTGCATCTGCTATAATGATTTATCATGGCTCTAAATCTTTTCCTTTTACTAAAATATGTGATTCACCAAGAATCAGTGTTTTAATATCTTTCAATCACTAGCTGAATGTAATTGGGCCAATCTCATTTTCTTATCCCAACCTATTTGGTAGTCTTAGCTAAATATTCAGGACGTTCTTATTTATCAGCTCATTTAGTGACTATTTGAGGTTATAATTGCTGAAAGTAAAACAACTTTGAAACTGATGCTTATACTTCTGAATGTCACAGAAACACAATTGTCATATGATTGCCATTTGGGTGACTTCATAATTTGTGCACCATTGCTACATCCCAACGTCCTGTGACCACCATTTCATGGGCTTCACAACCAGCTTCCAACAAGCAGAATTAATGCAGCACACAAAAGTGAAATCATTAGTCATGATAACATGTTGTCTCACTTAACAATCATGGTAATTTGCTTAACAACAGAAACAGAGATGAGGTTATAAGTAAGGCACAGTCATGTGATGTTTCAATTAGTGATCATGCTTAGTGATAGGATTTCCAGTTCCATTTGTGGTTGGTAAGCAAGGACTATACGGAAGAGGAAAAAGCCTTACTTATGCCTCCTTAAGCACCTAAAAAGCAGAATATATTGATAAAATATAAGTAAATAAAAAGTAGAAAATTTTTGTTTTCTCATCACACTAACAATTTACACGAGAGGATTACAGGGATCTAAAATTCCACTGATCATTAAAATTAATATTTCAAGCTCAATAATAGTAACACCAAATTCTAAAATTGATTTTTTTTTAAACTTTATGCTGTAGTAAATGTTCTTCATTAAATATGGTCATTGGAGAAATATACATAAAAGGTAACTATATATTTAGGTTTTGTAATACCATACATCTGGAAAGACAAAGCCATCTATCTTACCTGTGGAATTTTGTAAGTCTCTAATATATCTGCCATATCACTAGCAATTCCTGGATCAACAGTCCCAACAATCGATATGAGTTTGTTAAAAACGCCACATTTGTAATTGGGAACAAATCTTTTCTGGCTAGAAAAAAGTTCCATTTTGGCATGATAGCCAGCACACCTATCATAGATTCTGAAGCCCAAAGTGACATTAGGTATGAGCTGGAGGTCTTCATTGATGTTCTTCACAGCAAATACCATGGTCAAGACATGTTGATAATATTTAGTCAGGAATCTGCAATAGGAATTAGATGTTGTATCAAATGGAAATCTGCATCTATAAAGGACAATGAGACTAACTCCATGAAAAAAAGTCTAACAAACAATCACTCTTTCATGTTAACTGATTCAAGGTTAAGTTCCATCTAATCATTTAGAAGATAATACTCACTGTTTCTTGTTAATTGATTTATGTACTATTACCCAGCATATATATTTCCCTTTCTTTGCTATTTTAAAATAATTCTTACTATCTGAAGCTCACCAGCATCATTACCAAGTATGTAACATGGACATTAACTTCCTACATCTGGGAAGCAAAATTGAATTAATCATGTTTTCTTACATAGAGATGATTTCATTTTAATTTAAGTCACTGCAAAAAAAATGGCAAAAATGATCTACATTTAGAATTTAGACTATCTTCAACAAAATATGTATAGAAGACTATAAGCAACAATAAATTTTATAGAAACATATAATATCATAATGCCACTTAAGTAATGCATACATTGCAGTTTTATTTATTATTTTAATACATAATTCAAAGCTTTTTGACTATTAGAAACTCTACTACAATTATACCAAAAGTTTTTCTTCCCTAATAACATCTGTAAAATAGATGTAATAATATGAAATTATAGTCATACAATATTGGTTGTAATGGAAAAATTGGGAAGAAAATAATTAAGTGGATTAAGAAAGGCAGAATGAGGATTTTACCAGTAAAAGAACATTGGGAGCAAAGGTTCATGTGTTTGTACTCCTCTGCTCCCCAGAAAAATCTTTTGGTTCATGAAAATATTATTCCTGAAATAAAATTAAATACCTCATTTACTGAGATAAAATATGCTATATCTCTGAGTAAACATTATTTTTGTAGTTCAATGCAATTTCACATATTCAGCAGAGTCAGGTTTTATAATCTGATGCTATAATTCCCAACCCAAGCAAAGGGACTGATGGCTGCAATTCCTGTCTTGTCTGAATTTAGTAACCATCAAATTTGTAAGNTATCATCCAATTAAACATTAACTCTTAATTATTTTTAATCACTGTAGCAAAATATATATTTACAATAGGTACTAAATAATGTAATCTAGATTAATAGCTACAGAAAGAAAATAATATCTTACAGGGATTCACCCAAAAGAGAATGATGGGGATCTTCCGCAAAACTTCCCACATCTCTAGTTATGAAAACAAAAGAAGTCATACCACCAATGAGTAGGTCACCTGGTTGGAAATATTTGTGATCAATTGGGATAGGATCCTGGATGCTGCATTTTGTTGGTTGAGTCTTGCAAGCCATATGTGGCAATAGCAATAGAAGATTCAATATCATCATAATAAATATTAATCTGTTGAAAAAAAATATCTAATTGCCATGAAATTCTTAAAAATCCCCAAAACTGGACAAGCTTGACCTGAATTTCTCTGTTCCTCACTTAACTTCCATCCTGTAATGAATCTTAGAATGCAAATGGCTCTGAGAAAGCATTCTGTGTATTTTACCTGTCCCTATATTTTTTAATTATTTATTTATCCATCAGCACTTTGTCCTAATTCTTTCAAGTACAGTAATTTGTCAATCAGGGCTTTGAGGAGTAGCAAATTTAATAATAGTCTTTTTGATAATGATAAAAGGAAAAGAAAATTGCAACCTTCAAATTATTAATGAAATAGTAAGGTTGCAATGAATCTATAAGACATCATATAATATCAGAAAAGTTATTGAGATGGGGGAAGATCAACATGGCAAAGATAAAGATATTCATGCTTCATTCAGAAGCCAGCCAAAATCTTTACCACTAGTACTCTAAAGAATTGTAGAGAATACAAGAGCATGAACATAACATCTCTTCAGTCTTTGCAACAGAGTTTGTTTTTTCCCCTTGCAGTTGCCCTGACAGCTGCGGGGAGATCTTAGAAAAAATTCTCTTTTGCTTAATGAGGCACTTGTCTATTACTATGATGGAAAATGCAAAGTAATATCAAAGTTCATACAAAGAGGATCTTAAAACATGAATTGTAAATTTAAGATGACCAAGTTTCTGCTTCTCTTTGTTTAAATTGAAGAAGGGTTCTTCTGTTTTAATTCTTGTCTGTATCAGATTAGTGTTTTATTAAGACACAGTTTCTAACAGTACCAAGTGGTGACACTTAAGAACTTGAAATGTATTTTTATGTTTCTGAGCAGAAAATATATGGTAGATATAGGTATACTGTATAGATAAGGTGAAACGTGGCTCAATGCGATCCTCCCTCAATGAGAGAGATCTTGGACTCCAAGTCAACAATTACTTAAATATGAGCCAACAGCGTGTGGCAGCAGCCAAAAAAGCTAATATAATCCTAGGCTGCATTAATAGAGGGATAGAACCAAGATTATGTGAAGTTCTGTTACTGCTTTACAAACCCTTAGTAAGACCACATTTAGAATACTGCATCCAGTTCTGGTCACTACAATATAAAAAAGATATTGAGACTCTGGAAAGAGTGCAGAGAAGAACAACAAAAACGAATATTTATATTTGTCAAAATTTCTATTACCAGTTTGGTTTGTTCCAGTAACCCACTTATTGTCAAATGATCTTCATTTCCAATATCTGGCATGGTCTTTGTTAATCTGGGTGATATTCAAGCTGAATGACTCTTATTTCAAGGTAGACCAGTTTGTAACCACCTTCAAATTGCTTCCCAGTCCTCGTACAAGTTGACCATGTTATGAATTTTGCTATATATATGTTTTTCAAAATTTGGATTGCTAACAAAGAATTAAGGGAGAACTGGAATAGCCATTTCGAACTTTTTAATTCTTTTCAACCAGACATACCCTTCTGAGATTCGAACCTGGGCTGTCTGCATGTTAGGCAGATGTATTAACCTCTAGGCCACAGGCTCTTTCTCACTTGTTCGAAATGGCTATTCCAGTTCTCCCTTAATTCTTTGTTAGCAATCCAAATTTTGAAATATATATATATATCATAAGTAACTTTAAACATCAGGTTATTATGCTCATCTACATTACATTTCTTTTAGTTCTGCTAATATTTCTTTATTTTCCTCATATATAAAGAAACATATAGCCCAATCCAGAGAAATTTTCAGGAGCTTGACAAATTCCAACTTAAGTATCTTTTTGAGTCCTGTTTCTTGATATGAACTTGCAATTTACAAATATTGTGGAAACTGATCAATATTATTAAGAAAATATGATAATGTATGAATCTATTCTATGAACACATGAGATTATAGAAGCATTATGCTCAGATCTTCTGCTGCCATGAAGATGGAGCAAATACTTGTGGTAAACACCCAGCTCTCTTTGTCCATTGTTATTCTTATCTACTAACTGAATGAACCCAGACCCACTAAACACTTTCACTGCTAGTTCTCTCCTCCCACCCCTGCCGCCACCATGCTCCATTGCTCTTCTGGAGAAAAAAAAACTACATTTGTATGTGACATTCAGATCTCATGCAATCATTTGAAGTGGAGATGGATGCCTCCAACACCGCAAGTGAGGCAGTATTTCTGATCAACACTATCTATCTTGTTCTCACCAGTCTTCTACTTCTAGAATAGTACACTGATGCAACAGAACTACATCTTCTGGTGTAAGGAGCTTGCAATCAATGTGCTCTTTGAATGTAGTGATACCACCTGGAAGGTACATTGAACTTTGTCAGAGTCCATAGAGACCAACAGAATTTAGAACATCTGCAGAATATTCAAAAACTGAACCATCAGCATATCCTGTGGTTATTATTCTTAGCCTTAACCCACTGAGATTTTAAAATTAATGAGTGGTCATAATTGTCTCCAAAATAACCCAACACAATGTACAAACATCACACTCTCAGAGAGGTTTGCTGCTACCCAATGTCCCATGAATCTCCTGCAAAATACCATAGCAACTGAATCAAGACCCAATTATGTCTATGTTTACTATCAACCCCTTCCAAAGGCACCTGCTTGCTAAACAAGGTTTGGACCAGACAACAAATGTTCCTGTTCTTCAAGGGTTAGTACTATGTCCCTATGAAACTATTATGCAATACAATGCTTTACTTCATGGGATCAGTATAATTCAAGTTCTTTCTGATCAGTCTGGAATGTTATATCATCTCTGCTATCTGTGTTTAAAATAGATACATGAGCAATCTTTCAAAAATGATCCCAATAAATTTCTCTGAATGAAGACTCAATTATCGTTGACAATATTTTGTTATTTCAGGTAGCAAAATATAAAGAATGTCACACATATTGATGCTCCCACATTATGATATATTTATTTATTATGCATTGATGTATTTATTTATATACTGAATCTTTAAAATCAAATCATAATCTCTTCAAAATAACCTGAATAGTGGCTGATTAATGAAGACTTATTACAATTAAATTAAGCTGGAATCATTCCAAGAATTTTCTGCTCAACACATACTTCATAAAAAAATCCCTAGAATATAAAAATGAAGGATGAAGATCATGGAAATTTAAAGGAAGGAATACTAAAGAGAGAAATAATAGAAAAGGGAATCTTTTTGTTTATACTCTAAATATATTTCTTTTTTTTCAACTGTTCTATCTGTTTAGCTCTGGCTGAAAAAAACATTCTCAAACACAATCCATCTCCAGACATCATCATGCCTCCCCACTGTGAAAAGGAATAAACTTTTTCCCCCTGAAATTGAATCCTGATTCTTTAAGCAACTTGATTCCGATAGATTTTTAATCAAATCATGAGCTGCATTCTTTAAAAAGACCAATGCCCTTTTCATTTCCAAGATTTTGAATTTTAATCAAAGAAGCACTAACTTGATAAAGTTTTGTCATACACCAAAAACAACTCCTAATAATTTCAACCCCCCTATGAGTCAACAATTTGAAGTATAGAGACTTAAAAGAAGAGATACTAAAAGAAAGAAATAATGGTAATAGGATTATTTGGGTTTGTATATTATTACTATTTTCTC